GGCAGGCGTGGTCAAACGATTATCTAGTCTCTTTGAACAAAACGACAAAATGGCAAAATAATCAGCCAAATATACATGAAGGTGATTTGATTTTGTTAAAGGATGATATGGTTCATCCACAATCCTGGCCATTGGATCGTGTAGTAAGAGTCTTTCCAGGCAAGGACTCTAAAGTTATAGTTGTTGAAGTAATGACATCTGATAAAAAATTGCATTCCAGCCTTTTCTAAAGTCGTTGTATTGCCAATACAATTTTGTATTATACTGTGACACTTGTTATGAATACTAGAGAAATACTTATTCAAATATATGTAGTTATGTATTTTATTTAAATGCATTTTAAATATTTAAGTTGTGATTGAAGTGTCCATAGGTCGTTTATTTTAATTTCATGCGCGGGCGCAATTATGTCAACCACATACAATTTCCTTTTTTGTTAAATACTTCTTTATTGCTTTGCAGTCATTGACTTACAATTATATGGACGTCGGGTCCTCGCTAAAAAGTGTCCGAACTTATAGGGCGTTAAAATCGTATACAGAGCGTCATTCACGCTCTAGTCTTCGTTTGTTCGACTGACAGCGAAGTAAGCAAAATTAGACAGTACTGCGATGACATTACAATTTAAATTCAACGTTTTAGCTTTTTCATATTCCTTGACATGTCACTACGTTTAAATAGGTTGAGTTGGGACATTTTTTTCGTGGTTTTTGTATTAGACCCGTCGTCAATTTATTTGTAAGCCAATGTTTGCAATTTATTTTTGTTTCTTTTGTTTAATCACAATTGTTTTTTCTTCCTTTCATGTCGTTCTTACATTTTATAATTACAATACAATTTTTTATTTGTCATTCAATATAAATCCTGCAGTAATTATATAAATCAAAATCAATCAAAAGATAACTTAATATTGGAATACAAAAAGTACATATTGTATTGTAATCGTTGAGTACCGAACATTAATCGTTCTTTCGTAATCGGTTGAGACATCGTTTTAATTATCTTGTTAGTTTTGATTCGAATTTTTAATTACTACTTGTGTAACTGTAAAATACACAATATTTTTCTGTATGGTTTCCGGTTGTTAATCGGGTGGTCTTTTTTCTTTTGCTCAAGTACTGAAATTTGCAATACGCGTATAAGGTTGTATCAACTGTGAATATATAATAAATAAATAACGCACACACTCACAGCCTCGCAATAGGGAAACCCTCTATCGCGGGTGCCATGGAGACACACCTAGGTAAACAACCACAAGTTACACCCGAACTCACGAAATAAATAAATGTTGACCGTTTTTTCGTCGTGCGTCTTGACGTAAGCGACACGCCTATGGTTCACTGCCACTCAGAGCTTTAAATCGCAAAGATCTGGAGTTACTGCCACTGCGCCTGACACCCTGAGACATAAGTTGATAAGTCCCATGTGCCTGTAATTTCACCAGCACCCTTATCCTTCGGCCACAGAGGCAATTGATGTTTCTTTTTGCTATATTTAATTTGTAACCGACTTCAAAAAAGGAGGAGGTTCTCAATTCCACTGAATGTTTCTTTTTTATTTTTGTATGCATGTGAACCGATAACTCTTTGTGAACCGATTTTAATGCTTCTTTTTTGTTGTAAAGAGGGTACCTCAGTAGTGATCCCATTTAAATTTCAAGAAAATGTTCCACCTCTAAAGATGGCAAACTAGGAGATGAATGACTTTTGAGGTCGGTTTTTTTAGTACAGGGTCAAGAGCACGTCAAGCTTGACACTTAAGACCAACTTAACATTTAAATCCAACTCTATGCCGCTTACGATAAGAACGGTCCAAAGTACAAAGTGTCAAGCTTGACGTGCTCTTGACTGTACTCTGTACTGAGATTATAACGTATTGTTTAATCATAACTCTAGTTGGACGCTTTGGCTAACGCTGTAAGTAACCCATACACGCACACACTGAAAAGTTGACAAAAATCATATCTTTATGAATAACGAAATTGTTTGAAAAAAAAAAATTGTCAAAATCGTAAATTTCTACGTTAAATTTAATACCTAGTACTTTTCCCTAAATGCTTCTTGATCTACGCTCCTGCGGCTTATTTATCTTGTATTAAAACGTTAACCGTTAACGTTAAACTCACAGCCCAAAAGATTACGTTGCATTCTAATCTATAATTTACAACACAATTCCAATTCGAAGCGCAACAATGTATAAGTTACTTAACTGGCCCGTTTTAATTTAAATAAATTAAGATCATGATCTTCACACCCTATCAGGAGAAGGCGTGGATATAATTATAGTCATCTTATCCTTAAGTATAGTTCGTAGGTTATTGGAAATGGTTATATATAAGTGGAGGTTGTCGAGTTAACTCCTGGTTTGGTTCGTACACAAGGAAGTTCCGGCCCAGACGATAAGGGACAGCTCAGACAGACCACACTGAAGAATCGGCTTGAGCCGGAAAAAGCTGCAATAATACAATAACTTAGGGTCCACTTAAAATCATCGTCACAGTCTTTACTCGGCTGGGACATTAGCTGCACCGCACACATCAATCGAGTTGACTGTTTAAAATTTGATACGTTCGCTGCATTGTTTTTTTTTTGTTATCATTACCGTTTTTTTATTAAAAAGAAATTGCGCATTTGACCTTGTAGGAACTGTCTCTCACTATAGTACCAACCTACAATGAGTTCCGAGTCTGCATTGGGAATAACTGAAGGACCGCAATTTATTCGTATAAAAATCCCAAAACAGCACGCTATCTGCTGGCGACTCACATTAGGTGTACTGCCACGCGATCGCATTAATATTTCCCGCTTATACTCAAAACTGCTGACTCTAGCCTCACTCACACTTACAGGGCCACCACATCACCTGATGGAAAGTGACGATGACGTCGACGATATGACGTATACAGGGTGTAATCGTTAAGTGTGCCCAGACGATTACTCCGGAAATATAAAAGATATCAAAAACCTTCAAACTTGTATCGAAAGTACGTCACAGAATGAGTAAAACGACATCAATAACATTTTAAATGAAACAGAAATGTCCAACATTTTAACGTTAAATGCTCCTATAAAAAGAAGTTTTAAAAGATTCAGTTGACCTACTTCATGAGGTAACAATAAGTTTATAAATAACAAAACTACTACAAATAAAGTAACAAAACTATCTTTTGATTGAATTAAAACAAATTGATGTTTATTTTTAAGTTAGTACAAAATTTTGTATTCAAAGCAGTTGTTCAAAGTAAAAACTTCGCTACGAATGTCATATTAAATGTATTGTATGGTGGCATTTAACGTAAGTCGTTTTACTCGTTAGGTAACGTAATTTCGATATCAACTTAAAAGTTTTTGATATCTCTTATATTTACGGAATAATCGCCTGGGCACACTTAACGATTACATCTGTATGACGAAGAAGCTATAGGGAAACAAAAATTTTACACTAAATAGCTTTTGTATAACTGGATGACTAAAATTCATTATTGCAACCGGTTTACCTCGTATAGGCTGTTTCAATCTGTACTGGAAATAAGAATTGTAAATGTATACAAATGTTTATTTACAAAGAGCAACTCCTGGAGCTTCTTACTAGTTCTTCTCAGGGGAATCTGCCTTACGAACAAATAGTAGATATTATTCAATATGATGATTTCAAGTGTAATATGATATGATGAGTTTGCATTATTTCACCTAGCATCTAGTAATACCTACTACATAAAGTATTTAACAATTTCTGTATTTGTTTCTCAATTAGTCAAAGAATCGCAATAATATATTGATTTCAAATAAACCATCTGCACAATCACATTGAAGAAGCATTTCAGTTATAAATGGTATTCGATTAAAGAACTAAATCGATAATAATCGGCTTTCCATTAATTAAATCGATTTGGGCCAGATTGGTTCACACAAAAACATGATTGACACATCAGGGTTGCCCGATTTAACTCGATTCATTTAGTCGATTAATAATAACTAGCCTTTTCACGTCCATTGATTTGTAATCAATTGTGAGATGCAGGTAACCATTGTTCGTAATTAAGCAACAGCAAGAGTTTCTTTTAATTAGAATTTTAAACTAATAGAACATCTTTTTTGGTCTCCTTTCTGTAGATTGATGAGATTCGAAATTAGATAGACCTCGGCATACATACCTCAACGAGAAACAAAGACCACAAGTTTTAATGAAGACATCATAAACGGAAGTGTAACAATTTTTTCGTTATGGACTTTGAAATAATTCTGTTACTTTCTCATAAGTTTGATTTTTGCGTGAACATCAACTCACTCGTTTTTATTTTATTAGTCAGCACGCCTTAATAATCTTTCTACAGATGTTTTTGTTGCAGATCATTGATTTTGGTTTTAACGGCTTTTGTTGCATATTGCCTTTACCCAATTACCCGTGAGAAAATTACGAAAATTTTTCCTTTTTTTTCTTCGCTCAATTAATTAGTTTAGTTTGTTTTTTTTACTATGTTATCGTCTAATTTTGATCTGTTTACTTTGTTACAATATTTCTGCTAAAAAATATTTCTTCACTTGTATGGTCGACACTTGCATATTATCCTTCCCTGGATAGATAGAACCTATTTCGGTTTGTTCTTATTACTTTTGACCTGCCTTTTTTAAGGACATCCTCAATCTGGTTGGCTCAATTGGTATGGTCAATAATTTGTACAAAACCGCAGATTTAGTATCAACTAAAGCCGTGACTCAACGAAAATTCAATAGGTCACTATACTAAAATAACCACAAAATTACTACTCAAGGTTGTACTCTTAAAAGGTCAAATGGAGCCCTATTAACAAAACCCTATTCCATTGTTACAGATCTACTGTGCCGGTGCCCCAGAAATCGAGATTCAATCATGATGACTTATTAAAATTATAGGCTGAACATAACTGAATCACGGCCATTAAAAAAAATAATGTCACGAATTGGACGTTGACGTTTGGAATTCGAAGTTTGAAAATGACGTAGGGTTGTTCAAAACACAAAATGGCGCATAAAGTGAAGAATAATCATTACGTGGCGACGCATCGGTCGGGAGTAGATTCGCCATCATCGGGGGCCTATTTGCATAGGGCTTCCCCGAGGGATGAAAATGATAGCCATCGAGCGCCGTCTGAAAGGACACTATCCGAATACACGGTACGTACTACTGTCAACATAATTCTATTTAAATTGAAATAGGTATTATCAAAACTATGATATTCAAGATAATAAAAAAAGACAATGGAACTTACCAATGAAACAAACGTGTCCCACGCACGCACGCACGCACGCACGCACGCACGCACGCACGCACGCACTAATTACTACTTATCAAGTTCTTAGGTCTTCGCGATTGTTACACATAGGAAATGAAAGTATTTTTCCGTAAATATTTTGTTTTTTTTCAAACAAACCAACATTAGTTTTATTTCCTAGAACCTACCTGTTTTGACGACCTCGGTGACTCAACTGCACTGCGCTGGATGAGGAAGTCCCGGGTTCAATTCCCAGTAGGACCAATTTCGGAAATAAACTTTTCTAAATTGATTCTTGTCTGGATATTCCGGGTAACATCCCAGAGTGAACCCTTACTATGGTACAATACCCTACTTTGAGACTGATTTTCTGGCACATTATTATCATTATTGCCTAGCCAAAACATAAATATTTACTAGCAGTAGAGCTCCTTGTAAAAGAGTTCGTCCAAGAAAGTACTGCCAACAGATCTATTTCTGCCATCATTACTGCGTTCCGGTTTTGGAGGGTGCTGATGAAACTACATGCTCGTGAAACTTGTCAACTTTATCCCCAGAGAAAGCTTTGAGTTGCAGATGCAACTGTTATGGATAGGCGTGCCGCTTACATCATCAGACCAAATAGTTCCTCCAGTCTCTAGATTAAAAAAAAAACATTTTTACAAACACTGGTTTATTCTAAAACGTATTGAATAGCAAAACATATCGTCGGGAATAACGCAATTACGCGTAACTAGCATTGGATCATGAGTTTCCACTTCGGTAATTTAGTGGTCAAATGAAATCCGTGTAAACGTGGTGGTAACCAAATTAGCATGAATTACGGGAATCTAAATTATTATCAGTCCGTAGACAACCTAAATTAATGCTTATCATTGAAATAATAATGTAATAATGTTAAATCGCTCTCCTGTAAAATTTGGTTTAGTACAGATACGCGCCTTTTACTAATGTAAATACGCGCGGATTTGCACTATCCTCGACGATATCTAGATATTAAATGCTTACGTTCTTGACACGCAAAAGCAAAAAAAAAAAACAATAACAGACTAAAAGTTAAAGAAACCAGTTTAATAGCACAGATGTTAAGTTATTATTGTAAACAAAAAAATTGTTTAGCCTTAAAGTAAACAAGAGACTATTTCTATCTACGATATACGAAGGTATAGCGTTACGCGAAATCATATATTCACGTCGCTCTGGAATAAGGTTGGCACTTACTTTTATTTTAAATAATTTTACGGAATATAGAACTTCATCATATTATTCATAAGAAGGTCGTTATTTTTTGTTTATACAAAATATTATAATTTTTATAAATATTTTTTGTTTCGTTTGGATTACATGTTCAAGAACAATGTGAACATGTAATCCAAACGATTCTATTTTTGTTGAGTTTCTTAAACAATAGTAGTTTTTATTAGACATCTAGTGACGGAATGATCGAGTCGTACACCTTGCTTGTTGCTGTGCTACTCAGAGCTTTAATCGAGATTTAAAAGGTCTAAGGGGCGCTGCGACCGCATCCATTACCATGAGACATAAAGTTGCCAAGTCGCTTGTGCCTGCCGATTCACCAGCAGCTTTAACCTTCCAAACCAGAACGCAGTGCTTACATTACTGCTTGCGACTTTAGCTTAGTCCATTCATCCTAAAATGGAGGAAAAGATAATAAACAACAAAAAACACAATAATTTTCATGTGTATTTATTTTTCAAAAATATTTCTTATCATTGAAAAAAATGACAACTCTTTATGGTAATTGCAAGAAGCGTGTGTGTGAAGCGATAGAGTGTGTACTTACCCAAAAGAGATAAAATGTAATTTTATTTTTGTTGATTGCAAGAAGCGTGTGTGTGAAGCGATAGAGTGTGTACTTACCCAAAAGAGATAAAATGTAATTTTATTTTTGTTGAATTTCACAATCATCGTAAACAGTTTCAATTCCAATGGTAATGAATTTAACAGAATTTTTATCGACAATTAAAGTTACTGGTACACCGCTATGTCTATTCTGATGTTACTAGTATGAAATATAAACCTTGTACTGTACTAAGTCTCGTCCACAAGTCATATACGCAATACGAATAGTCAAAAATAGCTAAAATTTACACGTAAACAATTTAAAGAGCGAAATTTTATTGCAGTAGCGAAATTACCGAGAAAATTACAATGTCAAATAATATGTTACAATGAAATAGGTTAAGAACGCAATCGTGAACTTCCGTAAAAGTGGAATAGCTCCGAAATTCGGACTTCAAAAAAAGAACGGTAAAATGCCAATTTTTTTTTGTTAAATGAAAACTGTATTGTCAACCCTAAGTAAATAGGTGTAGAACACATGTCGATTTGTATTTTCGTACACATCAAAACACGATATATCGAGTGAAATACTGCGTCGAATCGTAATAGTTTCCTGTGCGGTATCGATTAAACTGCCGCAAACATCCCGATCGGAACGCCTTGCGCTAATGCTCGATGGTTTGGTGAATTTTATTGGTCAATTGAGTTCGAGTTATAAGCTAATGGCGGGAAATTATAATGTAATAATAATTATGCTAAGGGCCTTATCATAACTAACACATTTGCAATTTGGTAACTTTGGAGATATTGGTACCTAAAGCTTTTTTAAAATCAATTACTTGATTTGGCTAAAGAATAAAACTGAAACTAAATACGATATAAAAATACGGGGTTGTAAATCTCGCTTTGCTGAATCAGACATACTAATAACTAAATTTTTCTAAAATTTTTCTAAAAATATTGATTACGTTAGTTATGATAAAGACAGAATGTGCTCATCAATTACCTGGACTCTAACCAGTAATTACCAGTAAGGTCTCTGTACTATTTTAATTAAATTCACGGTCTAATTATACAATAATAGTTATTAAATATGAGAATTTCCAACTTTAGCGAACAATATAAAGTGCTTACAAAACAAAGAAAAAAGTTTATAAAAAACACAATTACATAAAAACTACTGAATAATTAAAACGGTCATTCTCTGACTTAATGTTCACTACCTAATTACCGTGGCATTTTTTATAATTTAAGTACTCGATTTTTATCGTGCAATATTATTTAATATTCGAGTATTGTATAGTGAAATATTATTTAATTATTACAACGAAAATTGGGTAGTGAACACTAGTCCGAGAATGACTAAACGAAAACAAAATAATAGACAAAAATACACAAAAGTTAGAGTATCATCACCAGTTACGTGATGTGTCGAAATGACGTTTGGTAATCTCCCGCCTGCCTGTGTCTATTTTGTACAAAACAAATCAAATTCAGCGTGATTTATGTTATTAAAAAGTCGCAATGTACGCACTAGTAATTGGCACTTGCAAAGGTGGTCGCCATCTGTACTACAGCAACTTAGTGCAAAGCTTTATACGTAACAACACTTCTGGACAATCAATATTACCGTTGGCGATCCTCAACAGAAAACTGACTATGACAATGAGTATCAAAGCAAACTTTTTTTGAAGTCGGTTAATAAGAACCATCTAGGCAAAAATGTAGGTCAGTATTGTCCGAAATACACAAAATACGAAAATTCTTTTTTAATATAGCTACTCGTAAATTGCAGTGATCTTATCGCTTAGACCACACAACCTCTGACACTCATTTCTCTGGTTGTTTAGCATTCTCCGCTAGTCACATTGTGCTAAGGTTTCACTCAATAACATTGTTTATGGCTCTTTAGACTGTTTACGTAGAATGTTTGCTATTTCTGACTGTTCGTATTGTTTATACGATTTATTCGACTGTACAGGGTCTTAATTCCATTTTATAGCCATGAGTGTTGTAAGGGACAATGTCGCACACCGGCTGTTACAGACGGCCGAGACGCGCTTGACCGGTCAGAGTAAATAAGAGTAGAATTACGTTAATAATTCGGGGCTCTGATTGACCGGGTGGCGTCCGCGGCGCATTGATAGGACCGGTACAGTGTGGGAGACACCGTATCGGTACATATATAAGAGAATCTTGTTAGAATTATTCAATCTTATTCGATATTCCGAATGGATTTTTATTACTCGACTTCTAAGTCAGATGGACATAAAGATAAGGTGTTCAAATAAGTTTTATGAAAATGTATACAGTCCACAGTTTCCTAACCTCCAATAAACGGGAAGAATTTACGTTTATACGGAGTTTTGTTGAAGAAGAGAAGGATATCCAACACCCGCTTTAACAATGTCACTTGTCAAAAATCGTTATATTTTCGTTTTTTTATTTATGCACGCAGGAATATTCCTACTTTTGGGTAAAACAAAGACGATGTCGTTGATTCAAACACATAAGTAACTTTTTTCTGCCAACCAGTTATGAGTTTTGTCATTGTTGAAGTCTACTTTTAGCAGCAGTAGAGCTACTAATGAAAAAGTTCGTCCCGGGAAGTAATATACTGCCACCTTACTTATTTCTATCGCCAAGCAGTAATGTGAGCATTACTGCGTTTCGGTTTTGAACGGTAAGGGTACTAATGAAATTACAGGCACATGGGACTTATTAACTTATGTCTCAGGGTGACGGACGCAGTGGCGGCACCTCTCAGATCTTTGTGATTCAAAGCTCCGTGTAGTACTGCAACTGTTATGGAAAGGCGTGTCTCTTTTTTCATGGTAACTAACGTCCTTCTCACCTGATGGAAAGAGACGATGAGGTCGAAGATGTATGCACACTTAAATAGTGCCTATTCACTCTCGCCTTGAAAAGGCCCAAGTTATAGCGTCCGGGGAATAAGTCTGCAGGAAGGGAATTCCAATTCTTTTGCCGTTCGCTGTATACACACACGACTTGTTAGTCCCGTCATCTGGTATTATAAAAAAGTCGATGTGCGACATGCACTTACGTACTGACACATCATAAACCCATTGAGATGTCACTACTGGGCATGGGTCGCCTGAAACGGAATATCGAGTTTACCATATTATCGAAGAATTAAACGGATCTTCAGAAATGTGCAGGTGTCATTACAATGTTTTCTTTGTTTTAGCTAGTAATTGTTGTTATAATTATTAATACACAGATCGAATACAGAAAAATTCCTTCGACCCGGCCGGACTCGAACCGACGTCCTCCAGCACACCGTGCCAGACGCATACCAACCAAGCTACGGAACGAACCAGCGGACAGTGGACCTCACGAATCTTTCTATGTATTTGTTGTAGTGTCTTTGCATTTAGTTTTTTCAACGACTTTTTTGTCTTCTGTTAGTCTAATGTCACAATAATTTGTGTAATTCGACAGGAGACCCAGCCTCTCCCAATTTGGATTTCACTGACCTGTAGGTATCTCAAAAGAACATTAAAATAAATATTTATATTTAATTACAGACAATGGACGAACGAACACGGTCGCCATCGGGTGACCACAGAAACGGTGACCACCGAAGTGCCGATCATCGAAATGGTGACCACAGAAACGGTGACCATCGGAATGGCGACCATCGGAACGGGAAACGGCACGCCAACGGATCAGCTAGGGACTCCGGGTCCGATGTGTACGTCACTAGTGCAGCGTACAGGCCCCCTTCTGAAATAAGGTGAGTTTACAAACACACAAACTTAAATTTCGCGGTTAACTTGCAAATGGTTCAGCTCATTCTGTCGTAATAAACCAAACTTAGGGTCGTATTCCAGAACTCTACTCAATACTCAAGTCAGGACATGAGTATTGCAGTGAGCACTGAAAATCATACTCAAGTCCTTGCCATTAGGGTCGTGTTTCCAGTGCTTCAAATCATACTCAAGTCTGCTCAAATCCTGACTTGAGCATTGAGTAGAGTTCTGGAATACGACCCTTAAACTTAAAAACTCAATCATCTTTATTTCCACACCATACACACTCGCGCACACACTAACAACACTAACGCGCGCTCAAAGCACTAACCCTATTAACTTTTAGATTCTAGACTTTTATGTATAATTTTTATTAAGTTATTTTAACTTCTTAAACTTAAATCAGTCAGTTTTGAAATAGTATTTATCACACTCATGCTCCATTTAGTAAAGCGTATATAGTTATAGTGTTAATGTTACCCATAGAAATATATTCCGAGGGTTGGAGACCTGAAATACAGGCTGTGAGCCTAGTTTAGGCATCAGTCTCCCACAATATGTTTATCATAGTATAGTTTGCACTTTTATTATGTTCACTGTATTGTATTGTGGTGAGAAAATAAAGAATTTATTATTATTATATTTCATAATCGTCATATTAACTAACCTCTACTGCTCATTCGTTAGCAGATTCCCCTGAGAAGAATGAGTAAGAAACTCTGGGAGTTGCTCTTTGTAATTTTTTTTTATAACATCAAATGACGGGACGAACAAGTCGTGCGCCTGATGGTAAGCTCAAGCATATCCGTAACAATTGCAGTCCCACTCAGAGTTTTGAATAGCAAAGATCTGGGGGGCACTGCCACTGCTCCCAACACCCTGAGACATAAGTTGACAAGTCCCAAGTGCCTGTAATGTAACCAGTATCCACACCTTTCAAAACCGGAACATATTAATAATAACATTACTGCTTGGCGTCAGAAATAGGTAAGGTGGCAGTACTACCCTGGACGAACTCCTTTGCAAGGAGCTTTACTGCTACTAATATACATTGGAATATACATTTGAATATACATTTGAATATACATTTGAATATACATTTGAATATACAATTGAATATACATTTGAATATATATTTGAATACAATTTATCATTTACAACATTATAATATAATAAATAGCATATCTATCAGTATAATAAATCAACAATAGATGGGTAACAGATTTATTACAACACAATTCAACTTAGCAAAATATGGCTGCTCCCTCCTCGGCTAGCCCGAGCTATCCGGCCCACAACCCAACCAAAAACAATATCCGTCCGATCTCTTCAAACCTCCCACCAACGACGTGATTGTTCAGCTTAACCCAACCAAAAACCCCGATTGCCACTTTCTTCATTTAACATTCTCTATTTGTTTTTTTTCTAAATTAATGAACCTCACACTATTCATTTCAAACATCTTAGATCGAGAATAAGAGTCATTAAACCTTTCTTCTGTAACGTTGCCATTTTGCAGATGTAACCTAATTACACTAATAATAGTACACATAGGTGAACATTTGTGTGCTACGAGAAAAAATAATGACCCATGGTCCACCCAAGTAAACCAGACAGGTAAATCATGGGTACGAAGGGAAAATAATCCAACCTACAAAAGATTATTTTCAAAGTCCATTTTACCAAAATATGTAGATTTTTTTAATTTGTTACAAAGCATATATATAACATTAATAACTAATTACAATCCAGCCTTTTTAATAGGCAGTTTTAATTTAAAACATTGTCCTAAAATAAAAGTATCTTCTATAAAGAAATTGTCTATCGACCAAAATTTTTGTTAATGCTAGTTACGGACTTTGTTCATGTGTTCATAGTGTAATTAACCCGTCACGCATTTTAGAGTCACACCGTGTCCCTAACGTTTTTGATACTGCAGCGTCCTAGAGCCACAAGGTGACGCATAGCTGTGTTTTCATCCACCATTTTTTTTAAATGTAAAAAAAAGACATAAAAGAAACAAAATGATAGGGACACCGCGTATCTCTAGGGTTCGAGACGGGTTAACGCTGGCATTAATATTTATTTTATTAACTACAACTTAATTATATTATATTAAATCAAAAACGTACGAATTTAAGATGTCACTTTGGTAGGTGAAAGCCCTTCCAAACATTAAGTCAAATTTCGTTCCAAATGCATTAACATTACCAGGAAGACATAAAACGGAACTGAGTAAACAGAAATCAGTGGACGAGCATATTGAATGCGCGCACGCAGGTCACGTCGCGATGATAAATGTGACTATAAATTAGCTGCATCTGGGTAACTGGCGCGTAGAGGTTGAATGCTAAATGTAGGTTGTTAGTTGGGTGGTTTTGTCGTATTTTGATAGACTCTAGTGCTTTGGAACTCGGAAATATCTATATAAAATATAGTCTAGACATACAAACATACAAAAATACTATCACGTCTATTTCCTATTGTTGTAGGCAGAGGCAACGTGAGGTACTTTGCTAAATTCCAGATACACCGCTTTCGCGGCTTCCACTCACTTCATATATTTATTATTCCTGTCTTTACTTTTGTAACGATATCACTTCTCACCTGATTGTTCTAATAAAGAACCTCTGCCATTTGTTTTATCCATATTCAAGTTGATATTAAACGCCTTGCGCGTAACGATCGATCTATAAACAAACCAATTTTCACTCGGTATAATTATATATTTAATTTAATTTCAAAGGATATAATCACTCATGGAAAAAGATTAATTAGCGGTGTAATTACGAAAGGCAAAATATTTACAAATAATGCGGATAATAACGGATGAAATGAATGAAATGAAATGAAATGATTATTATAAGTAATTAATTATATCTCTTGAGCGTTATTTTGACATGTCATATGTCATTTATTATTGTATCGAGGGAACCGCACCCATTTTACGCCGCGTGCGACCTTTCCCCGAGTTCGTATCAATATTCGCATTAAATTTGGTTTATTGTATTAACGAGTTTGGTATAGCAATCGTAATAAGCTGTTTTGTTAGCTATAATTAGTTGAACACGAAATCATAATTCTATTAACAAATGTGTTATTCTTCGACAGATTTTTAAAGTCATATTCTATAGTACCGGCACGCTATGGTGGCCGTTTTGACGTTTGTCTGCTCATCAAGTTTCATATTAATTCGTAACTACGTTGAAGGAGCTAATTGCTGTACGCTTCAAGTCCTTCTTCCCCCTATGTCCCTCTTACCCTACCTGACCCTATATAAAAACAGTCGGTTTCAAGCGACTTTTTATTGCTTCGATTATTGAAACAAAAAAAATCATTATTGTAACTAGCACGTTATTGTAAGGGTCGCCGTAAATTGCTGCAGCTAGACGACGCGACGCTGCACTGGATTAAAACGAGCAATGCAACACAAACTTTATCTTATACACGATAAGTTATATGTCTTCAGCAGCGCAGCGCGCTCTTTCTTATTCTTTTTTTTTTGCATTCATAGAATTGTATACTTTATGTACCTACTACAGAATATGTTGTATATTATATTTAGACGCCGCTGTATTTTTTTTTAATTTTTTGTTCAAATCATGCGGCCTGTAAAACGTATTACCTAATGGCGTATAAAAAGGCCGTGATAGCCGTCACCGCCGTCGGGGTCGTCAAAATCATGGGTTCGAATTTGGGCTTGCACCTCAGAGGTTTTCGGAATTTATGTGCGAAATGTAATTTGAAATTTACCACGAGCTTTTCGGTGAAGGTAAGAATCGTGAAAAAACCTGCACACATCTGCAAAGCAACTGCCTCATTGGCCGAACAGTTACCATGCCGGACTGCCACGCAGAGGTTCTAGGTTCGATTCCCGGGCCGGGAGAAATATTTATATAGCTTACATTTATTTATCTCGTGAGTTCGGATGTTATTTGTGATTGTATATGTATGTGTTCATGGCACCCGCGACACACGGTTTCCCTAGTGCGGGGCTATGTTGAGTGTGTGCGTTATTATTATTATTTTAAAAAATGTCTATGAAGCTCCCGATCCGCAGTGTGCTCGCGCGTGGGAACTACAGACCTTTCATTGTGAAAAAAGGTTTGTGCCCAGCAAACGGGCTTTATATAGGCTATTGCCTAGTGGCAAGTGTCACGACTGAATAAAAATACTTGCTTACGCGCAATTCTGCTCCTAATTTACACTACATTAATCTTTATAACTTATTACGGCTATGTGCTTTTATCTACTTTGTAACTTGTTTACAGTAATATTTGAAATAGTAAAATAAATTTATCGACACAGTTATTCTCAAACTGAAATAAACCTTTTGATCTTAAAATTTATTGTTATATGAACTTTGTTAATATCAATAAAACGCATTTAATGTTACATTTTAACGATTTCGTCAACAAACAAAAACAGATAATATTATTGTTAGTAAGTACAATGCAGTCATTTATTTTAATGTAAATTTTTATCCATTGTCGGGAAGCACGGATTAATCAAACAGTATATCTAAAGATGATGTTATGTTTACTCATTTACACTTTAGATCTGCTTTAAAAAGTTACTACAAAAACATAAAAAAAAACTTACAAATTCTCTTTGCAATATTTCGCACATAAGGTCAACTCAAAAATGGTGGAATTGAGAAAATATATTTTGAAATTTAAACACACGCACGTCTCTTTCAATCATATTGCAGGAACCTATCATTGGTTGACATTATTCCATGACGTCATAAAAACCTACCTACGTGACCTATAAGAAGATGTAATACATCATTGTACGTAATTGGTACATCAATATTACTGACCGACAAAGGCAGCATAAATCTGGACGAGGTGGATATTAACCCATAGCACCGTTAACGTTCAATCCTTGACTCGCCTAATTCTAGCGAACGGATCTCGAAACGTGTGGAATTACACCCTGGGTCCCCAGACGGTGGTAGACGAGCGGTTGGAAAGCGGCGGGC